ACCTGATGGCCTTATAAACCTCTTCCAACTTAACTATTCTATGATTCATATTCAGTATGGTCTTAACAGGTCTATGGAGTGATGGGGTGTATAAATATCATGTAAGGGTATATATACCCTCAAGAGGGATGCCAAGCATTAAACACCATTCCCGCCCACTTCCAAAAACCACTAATTTCCCGAAGACTATTTCAAGACACCCACGTGTCAGGATAAAATAACTGCAAGGCTAACATCCTTGGAGTCTTGATTGTGCAACCATGCCAGTGAAAAGTTGTCTTCAATTGCGACATATGGCAGAAGGAGAAGAGAGAAGTTTGCTAGATTAAATAAAGCATTAATAGTTTAATCTCTCTAAAAGCGCAAAATCAAAATGCAAGAGTAAGGGGATGCATCGAATGATGTTAAATGTACACAATGACTGGGTCTAGATTTTGTAGAAAAATCATATAGTGCTTTTCAAGTTCTCTTGGGCTGAAGAAGGAAGGGGACTGGCCTCCTCCAAAAGAGATTTAAACCCCTTTTCCTTCGTTCAGGCCTCGCAGGGTGAACCACCCATATGGCCCTGTCGCGACGTCTCCCTCCGAGGTTCCAGGCTCGTCGGATTCCCTGGAAGGACAGGCCTCGCTCTCTCCACGCCTTGCCTCAGGGAGCGAGCTACCTTCCCAAGGCCCGGCCGCTGGCCTGCGGGTCCCACCAGCCTTAGAAGGGGGCGCCTTCGGGCGTCCATCTTTTCCCGCCTTGGCGCCTTATCTCCCTCTCTGAGAGAAAGAGGCGCGGGAGCGGTCGACGAAGTTCTTCCCTGCCGGTCCTCAGCTCATGGGCGGCGAGGCGTCTCCGCTCCAGGCACCCTTGGGCTGAGGCCCCGCGTGCCACCCGGGGCAAGAATTGCTCGTCCTTGGTCGCCCACGCGGGGGACTGACTCGGCGCCACTTCTTTACTGAGCAAGGCGGAATGAGCCGTCCGAGGGAGGGAGCGGCCTTCCCTGCATCCCTGACCGCCGCCCCCGCCTCTCCTCCTCCTTTGCTGTGGGATTAAAAAGCAGCGAAGGACCCCCATCTCTCTTTCTCTCTCTCTCTCTCTCCTCCCCAATCTCCTTCCTCCTTCCCAGATCAGCGGCTTGCTTCGGGCCCGGCCCGCTGGCCTTGGGCCTCGCTGTGTGAAACCACGACAAGAATTCCGCTGGCAACCCCAGCCGCACAAAGCAGGAGCAAACAACAATAGGGGGGAAAAGCCCTTCCGTGCAGAAAGGAATGCCTCCGGCGCTACCGGGAAAGGAGACGGGCGGGCCAAGAGCCGGCCAGCCTCCCCCGCCTGCCTGCCCGCCCGCCCGCTCGCCTCCCATCTCGGCAGCGCCGGATCTTGTGATGGAGCGATCTGATCCCTTCTTTGTACTTCGGAGGTGCCAGGAAGCTCATTGAATATTCTGATCTGCCCCCAGTGTTTCTTGTGGCTTGACCCTGGTGCTGTGTCGTACCACTACCCCAAGCAGGCCCTGAACCTGCATAAATCACAACGCTTCAGAAACCTGCCATACACTTGCGCTTCCCCCCCCCACCTCTTCTTTTTTCCTCTGGCCCTAATAGAAACATTTCAGAGATTAGACTCCTTGAGTGATCAGGGCAGAAAGAAAGAAAGAGGGGAGGGGGCTCCTTTCTGGGTAAACAACCAACTAGCCCGGTTCACTTTTCAGCCGGTGTAATTCTGGCTCCTTTGGCCCTAAGAGGCTCTTGATACCCAACAGGGCAATTGCCCAAAATTCCAGCTTTTGAGATGAAACTAGTTTAGCACATAAATGCAAAATTTTTGTATTTCTTTACTTGGTCACATATTAGAGGAAGAGATCTCATAGTGGAGCTACAAATTTGAGCAATCAATGTCATTGGGAATGCTGTGTTCTCCAGGTGAATGAGTCCAATCATACCATCCGTATTTGGAGAAGTTTGTTTTGTTGTGTCTGTTATCCTGAAGGCAAACATCAACCAGTCAGTGCTCTGCAAGGGTCTCCTTTTGAAAATATAGTATGTATAATATTTTCTGTGCACTGAACTGGATGGTAGAAATGAGGTGAAGTGGTGAGCTTAATTGTTCTGCAGGGTTTTAGTTGAAAATGTTTAATTACAAAAGAAGCTTTTATATATTTTGGGAATCGTTCAAGTTGTGTGTTTTTAGTCATGCATGGGAGAGAAGGGGGTATGTATTACTCTTTTAGTGGTGGGTTGGTTCATAACATGCATTACAAGCATTTTGATCACTATGATACGACACTGTCTGAGTCATCATCACACATATGCATGGGCACATCATATAGATCTTCCAGATTTTCTTTGCATATAATTCACCTCGAAGCATAATGCTGTACTGTACAAAGGATTCAACTGCCTGTCTCCCAGTGTGCAGCAATGAAATGCAGAGTCATCAAGGTGAATGGATGTGTACAATATTAGGCCATCTTGTTCATATGAGTTGCAGACAGCAGTCTCTCCATCTGAGGGGGAAAAATTAAATAATATGAAGAAATAACAAACTGCAGAAGACAGTTATGGATTAGATTTTACAGCTGCCCTGTGTATTTTATTACCTGGAAACCGCTCACACCTAAAAGGTAGGCCTTAAAGAAAAGCCCTCCAGAGTCAGATATAAGGCATGTCAATTCTATAATTAATTTCCCATATTGCCCAATCATATAAACCTATGAAAATTTCAGAGTGGGACATAAGTGCAATACCACTTTCTTACTCATGATTACCAGTTTTGGGTGTTGAGAAGCATACAGCCCCCACTTCAGTTTCATTGGTAGTATTAGTATCGTAAAATAGAAAGACAGAAACCCTCTTCTCACTGATACTTATTCGTCTAGGGCAGGAGTGGACAATTTCCAGAGGTATGGATGTTACACATGGCCACTCTTGGACTTGGAGAGCTGCACCAAAGTACTGTATGTCCCCACCCTAAAATAGTTTTAAGAAAAGGTTTTTAAAATTAAAATACTCCCTTGCTCCCTCTAGTGGTCAGAATTTTTAAAAAAGCATAAAAATGGTGGGAAGACAAGGCTGGTGGGAACCTTGGCAAAATGTGGCCAAATTGCCCCTGCCTTCTAGAGAGTGCACAAAGATGTTCGGAGAAGGGAAAGAAAGCGAGCAACAAAAACAACAAAAAACTTTTAAGGATGTAGCACATACTTTTTAAAAATGCAGTTGTTTAGTAGTGAATTACCTGAAGTATTTGCTATACTGTGTAAGAGAATATCTTCAATGCACCTGCATTGACTACAGTCTGGTACTATTACCAGATTATTACATAAAATGAGGAATAACACTGGTTTCACTTCTAACCCAATCAGTGTAGATATGCAATCTGAATTCACACAGTTATAAGCCAGCCAATTAGCCAGCTGCATGGCAAGGCGAATTGCGATGCCAAAATCATCACCCTCCTGGGGTCCCAGTCTGATCCACTGGAGTTTCCCACATGGTCATGTCCCTCCCTCTACTTTCTCAAAAAATTTGAAATGTCTCAAGGTTTCTTTGTTGGTAGGAAGAAACTTAAGGCTTAATATATGCCTTAAAATATTTTTGATCCTATCCTTTTGCCCTCGACCTTGCGCACAAACTGGAAAGCAGGCCCTGAAGATGTTTGTGAAATTGAATTTGGCCCCTCAGACTGAAAGAGGAGCCCCACCCTTCGCATAAACTCTTCTATTGCAGCTCTATTCAGTTGGTTCTACATTATCCACACACTGTTTATCCAAACTGCATAGCTGTACTGTACTGATGTTCTTTTGCTTAGTTTTAGCCTGATTTAATTATTCCCAGTATGTCAAGGTGTAACCTATACTATCTGTAAATTTCATGAGGCAGAGAGGGAGAATATATTGGTCAATTCTGGATAGCCTGTGAATACAGTTTTAAAAATTTACAACTGGGTAAGAGGGCGTAATTGAAACAAACCCATTAGTTTGAATTGGTCCCTACACAATTAATTTGTGCAAGACATTAAAAAATTAGGGGGAAATGTGATTTCACCCAGGGTACACATCTGGTGAGACATTAACATTAATTATGTCAAGCATTTCTGCTAAGGTTTTGAGTCCTTGTAAGGCTTCTCGCTGGCTGGATTGCTCAGTGGTTTAGTTCTCTGACTGAGGAGCCAGAGGATGGGGGTTCAATTCCCCTCCTGGGAGAAGAATGAGCCTGTGTGGTAGCTTTGGGCCAGTTGCACCGTCCCAGGATGCCCCAGAAGAAGGGAGTGATTAACCACTTCTGAGTACTCCCTACTTAGAAAACCTTTTATCTAGAACATCCTGGTTGCCGTAAGTCATGGCACACGGTTATTTATTAAGGCTTCTCACACATTATATTGGCACATGGCTATTTACTAAGGCTTCTTACATATTATATTGGTTTACCTCAGAGCCTTGTAAGGTAGGCCTATATTATCCTTATACTGTATTGTAGATGGCAGAGGGGCTGTTGAAAGTGGGAACTATGACGGGCCTGCTGCCTACTGTCCACCCACCTCACCTATCCTGTTGTGTCCCTCTTTAAAGCAACCTCCACTTGTTCTCTTGTCACAGTTTTGCTGCTTCACTTTCGCAGCCCACAGCACTCAAAGTTCCTAGGCAACGAGAAGCCCCAGTTCCAAATGATCTGCACCCATTGTTTTCAACTATTAATTGTACTACCTTGTTAAATTGGCACATGTTATAATAATATAACCTTAAAACTCCAGAGCTGGAAGGGACCCTATGGATCATCAAGTCCAGCCTCTGTCAGGGAGGCATAGAGGGGGAATTGAACCCCGAGTCTCTGGCTGAGAGACTGAGTGCCAGGCGACTGGAGTTTTCTTCTTCTTCACAAGCCTCCCCGGGTTGCAAAGGGCAGAAGGAGGGGCCACTCTCGCCCGGGCTCCACAGGCTTGTTGCAATGCCTCATGCTCGTTCCGGGGCCGTCGGGTATAAAGCGCTTTATGCAATGTCTGGAGGGTGGGAGTGTGGAGAAGACGCGATGTCTCGGCGGACGAGCGCGCCTTTCTTCGGCAACTAGCGGAGTAAGAGAAGAGGAGGGAAAAAGGAGAGAGAGAACACACACAAACACACACAGAGTTGTGCTGAAGTGCGCCGTCGGGACAGAGCCCCGCCACCTTTCCCACGGCTGGGCGGCTGCAGCATCCCAGCTCAGATGGGTCCTCAGCAGAGACCGGAGGGAACCCCCGCCGTCGCGGGCAAAGTGCTTCTCTTGCTCGCTGCATGCATCTTGCAAGCGAGTTGCCAAGGTAAGCCGCCCCCCTCTCCCCGGTCTCCGTCTCAGTTTCGGGGGTCGCCTCCGTAGCTCAGACCTCTTCCCTTCATCCGAAAAGAGAGGAGGCCGGGCGTGCGGGGAAATGCTCGCCCCCCCTTCCCTCTTTGGGCAGGGTCTGCTCGAAAGCGAGTCTTGGGGAGGGCGTCCCCCCGGGGCAGCGCCTCCCGGGGCGCAGCCTGATCCCGGGTCCCTGTCTCTTCTCCCCCCCCTCGGCCATGAACCGACTTGACAGTCGGGAGGCGAGAGGCTGGGGAGGGGGGCTTAAAGCGGGCCCACCCGGCTGGCTAGGAATTCAGGACGGCTCCCTCGGAGGGGGAACTGGTGGTGGGAAAACACCTGTCGTTGCCACACACGCGACGACGGTTCTCTACGAGCGCCAACGTGCGTTCCCGCCCCTGAATGGGCTGATTGTTTCTAGAGACGCTTTGGGGAGGCAGCCCGCACCTCTCCGTGCATGTGAATGGCCGTGGCTTGGCTCGGCTCGCTTTATTTATTTATTTATTTGGCAAGACCGATTGTGATGGGGCGTCTTTAGGAGAAGAGGGGCTCTGCGGTTGTGCCGTCGGGTGCAGCCCTCCCTGCACGGTTGTCCTGGGGCAACCGATGGTTTCGAAAGCCTGGAAGCTTGCGCCGGGCAAACCCGCGCGCGATAACTTAGGGGCGTTCACACGAGACGGGAAGAAAAAAAACAAGGGAGAGGCGCGACCTCGGTCCCCCATGCAAACCGAGTGCAGACCGTTTCCCGAGTGGCTTGTTTTCAAGCCGGGAAACAGATGCTTGGTCCGGGGAGATAAGAAGCTTCCCTCAGCTCGTCGTCTCTCAGACAGATTTTTGAAGTTGGAAGCGAGAACTTTTTCCCGGAGCTTTGCTGTTGCTAGGCAACGGCCGGGGAGCGCACGTGACGGAAGGAGCCCGGGCGGTCTGTGGCGCTGCAGGGCCGCTTCGCCAGCGCCGCCAACTCTTTTCTCCCGCCTCGACTTCTCCCCTCCTCGGAGTGGTTCAGGGCGTCGGAGCTCGTTCTCCTCCTCTTTCCCCTCCGCGCCACTTTGTCCCTGCAGGCTCTTCCCTCTGGCTTCCCCCTCTGTCCCCTCACCCCAGCACACCACCATTGCCCTAAAGTGAATGGGGATGACCTGGGGCAGGACGGGAAGACCACGTTTCCTGAGGCGCAGCTTGTGTGTTTTTGGGTGTGTGCGCGCTCACACACACACACACGGGTCTGTGGGGGAGGCCGAAGGCCTGTCTGGATGTGAATTGTGTGGATGTGTTCAAATGGTTAATCTGCTTTCTTTGCTCAACTCTTAGCGTAAGCGCCTTAGAAGGAATCAAGTAAGTAATTATACAGCAACTGCTGCTAACAACACCCTCTTTCTGAGCGGCGAGGCAGATACCTGTTGTACACCGGGATCCTTGCAAAAGCGCCAGCTGAGAAGGTCAAAGTGGCCAGGAAGCTAAATCCTTTGTAGTTGTTATTTTCATTAATATCTGAAGCAAAGCATTGGCAAGAATTTCAAGTGTTCAAGTCATGCTCCGCCCTCCCATGGACATTTTCTGTATCAGACTGATGTTACAGGAACCTCTGAGCTTGAAGCTTGCTATCATTTCCAGGGAGACACATTGTAACTATGTAACTTCAATTCCTGGACAATTTTTTTGCACCATCCATGAAGGGAGTGTGCCTAAAGCCTGAGGAAGTGGATTTCATCCACGAAAGCCTGCTACATATTTGTTTAACATTTTAGAGGTCTAGTAAAAGGTATCACCTACTCGTGCATCTGTAAGGACCACCTTTTCCTTGTTCTCATTGCAGAGAAGTAGTTAGTGGTTGCAGTGAATGTAATTGCTAACTACTTGTGGCATCTTAAAGAATAAGCTTCCGTGGTCTTAGCCCAGAGATGTGCAGTGTTGTCCTTAGTTGGGGTCTACTCATACAATGTATGGTGTGCTGTACTGGATAGAGTAATGACCTAGAGAACTCGGGAGCAGAATGTCCTCTAAAATGCATGACTGCGCAAGCGTGCATGACTCTGCCCACCTCCCTGCAGCTTTCCTCCTGTGTGCACCTGCAGTGAGCCTTTCCAGCCCCTTTGGTTCCAGTTGCAACAGAACCCTGTGTGTGGGGGGGGGACATAGTCATGCGAGAGAGAGGAAGAGCCCTGCTCAGCAGGGCTAAAAATTAGAGGGAATGTTCTCAGGAGACCTGGGTTCAAATCCCCACTGTGCCATGTAAACTCACTAGGTGTGGAAATGGTAGAGCCACTCTTTAAATCTTGCATATCTTGAATGCCCTAGTTGGGTCACTATAAGTGAGTTCTGTCTTGAAGACACCCAACAACAAACATACATACAGTATGCGTATGTATATATACATGCATACATACCTAACTGATGTGTAATAAAAACAGTTTTACTTCAAAGCTATGAAAATTGTTAAGTGCAATGACCAGGAGTAGACATTTCTGCTTTTTCTGATAGGATGTCAGGATCACACCAACGAGATCTGGATTAGTATCTTTGCTAAAAGAAAACATTTACGAAGTCTTCCCTTTATGAAGTCTTCCCCTCCCTCCCTCCATCCCAGGATATAATGGGATGAGGACCATATATGCTACCTGGAACTATTTGGAGGAAAAAAGCCTAAAAATGTAATGATATTCATGTACCTTATGGTGGGGATGATTGCTGTAGAGAATTTGTCATATGGAGAAGTGTAAATGTAATTAAAGACAAAAAGAAAAATCTAAACTTTCTAAAAATATCTGCGAGGTCTGATATGTACAGAATATGAAGGTGTCAGTTGAAAAAGAAAGGAAGGAAATTGGAAGTGATGGAAAGAAATGGGGATTTACTACAATGATGATTTAACTAGTCAAGTCCTTAATGACATACGGTGGTGTAGAGGAGAGATTAGAATTCGGAAGCTGCAGAAGGAAAAAAATAAAAAAGATTATTTTGTGTTGTTCATTCCTTAGGAATGAATAATGAATCACACATTGGCCAAAATCCTGTTGCTTTATGTCATAAGTTGCACTAGGTTTACTACAATGGAGACTTAATGAGTCAACTCCTTTACAAGCTCCACTGATTCAAATGGGCCTACTCTAATTAGCTTACTAGAGAAGCTCTGGTGAACAATGTACAGGTAAATTCCAAGTGTATGCAAGATAAAAATCAAAATGATGTTATTAGTTCCTACTGTAATGAAAAAGCTGTTGTTTAACTAATTTCAGCTCTGGTGTGCTAGTACAATAACCAGAATAATAAGCAGGGACCTAGCATTCTATAATTCCATCATGGAATATAAACGTTTTTGACATATTCTAGCACAGCAGTCTTGTGCTGGAGCTTTTCCTTTAAATTTTTGCTAAATTATAGTGACTTTTAGGCCAGCAGTCATGTGTTCTGCCTGGAACACTTGAGTTCCTTAGTGCAACTGTTTCTGATGTGAGATTTATTGCCCATTTATTCTGTTACATAGAACCAACACTGTTTGAAGACGGCTGAAGACCATTGTAGCCAGTGATGGAATGTGCCTGGTTGTGAGGAGAAGCATTGGAGTAACCTGGTGTATAGCTGATATTAGGTCCTATAACACTGATAAGGAGACAACATTCACATCTTTGTTCCAGGGGCTAGTTTCTGAGTTTGTGTCTTTGTTAGAGTGTACATTGTTTTAAACGTATAGCTCTGTTAAATTAGACATCTGTCTAATGACATAGATCTTCCAGGCAAGGAATGCAAAAGAGAAATATTATCCCAGATGTTATGGTGGGTGGTGTATAAATTGAACAAACAAGCAAACAAATATGGAGATCATTAGTGATATCTTGTAGTCTTGGCTGGAACCTCTACAAGACAAACAGTGGTTTGTTTGTTTGTGTTTGGGGCTTACACATAGTCAGTTTCTCCTGAGTTCTAAGGTCTATTCAAATATTATTTATTAATGTATACTACTGCTATAATGATTATGCACTATCAAGTCAATTCGATCTTGTGATGACCCTTCCCAGGGTTTTCTAGGTATAGAGTATTCTAAAGAGGTTCACCATTCTCTTTCTCTAGGAGTACACTTGAGACCAAGTTGCTTGCCCGAGGCCAAAAAAGACTGGCTCTTCTCCTAAAAGGCGCATAGCAAGGAAACAGATGCTCCTCACCTCTGGCGAAGTGCTCCAGCTCACTGAGCTATCCAGCCAGAGTTCATGTACAGTATATTAAGAGGTGTGCAAATATGTGTTTTTGGACTACAGTTCTCCAGCCAGCATGGCCAGGGACTATGGTACTCTAGGGGATCATTCTAGTCCTGCCTCTTGTATCAGATTTCATCATCATCTTTCACTTGGAGGGCAGTGAATCTAAAGAAGGAGAGCTCTGCTATTTTTGGAAGCTCTCCACATAGCGAGAATGACCTCCCAGGACAGTGGGGCTTGGGTAAAGCCTCATTAGACCTCTTATCTGACTTGATCTGTTTCTTCACTTCATTGCATGTGGGTCCTGCAGTTTTGAGGATGCATGTTGTAAATCTTAAGGGTGTGAGTCTCTATCTGAGGAACTTTAACAGATACAGTTGTATTGTGGGGCTTATCTGTAGTAGATGGATTGTGTAATAGGCTCTAGGCAGTAGCTGTAAAAATATTATTTATTTGATATAGGCATGTAGAGTTCAGTGTGTTTCTGGGAAAAGGTAATGTATGTGTGTCTGACTCTTAACTGTACCACAATCTCCAGAAAACAAGCACAGCTCAATAGATTGTATAGTATGTTTATTTTCTGGATACCATGGTGCAGCTGTAGCAATGGGGACATGGAGGTGAGGGAGAAAGAGGCAAGAGAGGAGTAACTATAAAATCTCTGAGAAAGGTTTTGAAAGATGACCAAGGGATAGTGTTGGCTCAAGAACTTTGGTTAGCAGTTTCCCAGTACTCTCGCTTAACCACCATCATTGGGCCCAGTGCAGCAATTCATACAGGTTGTAGC